TACTCTGCGGAAGCTGTTAACAATAATGAAAGCCGGTACTGCCAAGTCAATATTGGTGAGATTTTACAATTGGGAAACAGTCAATACTCAATTTAGCAAATACAATATGGCCAGTTAAATATGCAGAACGGCTACTGTCACTTTATCTTATCCTTTCCAAAAGCAAGTCACTTTGCATTTTTGACTTGTCTTATTATCCAATTTAAAATCAGGATTTCATATTCCAAACACAAAGTATGCACTTGTTCATAAATACCATTTCACAGCTATTAGAAAAGGACTTAACAGTGTGCATTCTGCATTATGACCTAACATCCCATTACTGGGACCAATAGACTATCCCATTTACAATCTCTAGAGACATTGAACATATCTTCTCAACAAACTATCAATGAGAGACCCTGCTGTTCTATCTTCTGTATCATTTACAATCTCTGATGATGAAATATTATAGAGACATTGAACATATCTTGTTGCATCTCAGAACACAAACAACAAAAAAGGAGGCAGGAATTATGGAAAGAATATGGATATGAAACATTTTGATATAGGAATAGCTTAAGTAAAATAACCTTTAACAATCTTCAGCACTTGAGTTCCCAACAGGGTGTACAGGGTCTCTTGATCATGGACTGAGGCCCCTACACCAGGAGGGGTTCAGTGGCTTGAACGTGTGCCACCAGGTGCTGGTCTCTTCCATACAGTTTGCCCTCTGTAATGCTGTGGGGAAGGAGTTGTCATCTGGTCTACACCACCTCTGGGTGCACACCATGAGTTTCCTGAGCTCTGGCCAATCAGAGTGGGTTCGAAGGGCATGCTCTTCCAATTTAAGTTCTGAAGTTCACAAGACTGTTACTTGTGGTCTAGACCTTGGGGATGTGCAAACTGGATACCAAACGCACTGAACCACAGGAGATTGGCATGTCCTATCCTGCAAGCTAACATTTGTTTTTTTATTAATTATTACATTTAGAATAATAATATAAATTATGTATTGAATTTGTACACATATTGATTAACAGATATAGCTGTGTGGTCAATAACCACACGACTAGTGCCATCAATTTCTGAAAAAAGTAGAAAAAATGTATATCAAAGTAGCACTGTATCTTAACGAAAAAAAATCAAACATCAAACAATTAGTCTATAAACATGAAAATAAATAAAACCAATAAGACATAGACTGTCATCTTTAGAAAGTCAATTCACTATTGAAAAATTATATAAATCTACTGGGCCAATTATTGTGGAATCTAGACAATTAAAAGGTATGCCAGTTAGTATAGTCTATGCCACTATAGGAACAAAGTAATAACAATTATTTATGAGTTGCACAAGGTCTGCTAAAATACAATATAATTAACTAAACAAAACATAAGGTGACAAATATGTTTAAAAATGGAAACAATATAATTGTATTAGTATTGCATTGTCTCAACCCTAAAATAAAAAGAGATGTGTCTACCATAAACAAATTACTTTAGATGTTATGGAACCTATATTTCTAAGATTTGCGTGTTACTTTTTTAATGTTTTAACAAAAGCATCAAACAACCTGGCAGAATCCCAGAATCAACGGAATATCCCTTTATGGGTACAGTTTCCTAACAAAAAAGTGCATGTGACCTCCAGGACTAGCTTGTAGAGATCAGATTATGCGAGCAACGCCTCACCAGGCTAAAGCCCTGCTACAACTGCAGTTTGCCAGCCTGATCAGTCTAGATCAGTGTTTTCAAAACCAGTCCTCAAGACCCAACAAAAGTCTAGGTTTTGTCAGTATCTCCATTGGAATAAAACAGTGAAATACATAGATCCTGAATTGTTGGTGAGCCATGATGACAGGATTGGGAAATACTGGTGTTGATCATACCAAAATGGAATCAGGAATAATAAATGCAATACTATGAAGATCCCTTGGGAACATGCACACACTTCTTTGTTGGGCCGCTGTTTCGAACAGTATGGTATCCTGACTTATTTGGAGGTAGTATACCAATGAGCGGTGCATGCAACAAGGTATGAAATCTTGTTGCTTGGCACTAGCGGCAAGTCATAGCAGGAATGAAAAGAAAATGATAGAAGAAAAGAGAGTTCAGAAAAACTCATAAATGCCGGCTCATAGAAGATTAAAGTATTTACTATGTTGCTTTTGGCTACATGCCAATGAAAGTAATAAATGTTTTGGGTGCATAATCCAGATATCTTGATTTTTCGTTCCCTTTTCACTTTCTTCCAGGTTCAATCTTTTATAACAAGAACAATGTCCATATTTCCTATGGGTGGATTTGTGGAAGTACTAATTTTATAGCATTACAGGAGGCTTCATATTTGCTTAAGTCTCTTTACTAGAACTCCACAGCAGCACATTAACATAGAGATAAAAACACCAGAGACAAAAAAATCAGGAATCTATAAAAGGCTTCTCCTAACTATTCCCTCTTTCTTTGCTGCTCCGCAATCAGTACAGGTCAGAGTACCACTGCCTCCTGTTATATATGGGTGGTTGTGGATATTTTACTGTATTTATATGTTTATTACTGTATTGATTTATTTGTTTAGAGGGTATTTCTGCATCTACCTGCTTTGTGCTCTAGTGATTTATTTATTTAGCTATACTGCATTTTCTGCATCTACCTTCTTAGTGCTCTAGTGATTGATTTATTTAGCTATACTGTATTTTCTACACCTACCTGCTTAGAGCTGTAGTGATTGATTTATTTACTCTGTTTTTCTGCATCTACCTTCTTATGGCTGCAGGGATTTATTTGTTTAGAATGTGTTTTCCTTCCTACTGCCGTTCTGATTTATTTATTTAGATTGTATTTTTCTGTCCCTACATTTTTGCTGTAGGGATGTATTTTCTCTTATGACTTTTCTGCATTTTCCTGTTTTGGGCCCCCCTGTCTGGGGATTGTTTTTTTCTCGGGTTTGGGGGGTTTCCTTTTTTCCCTCCACCCCTCTACCTTTGCCCCCTTTACTTTTCGTCCGTTTGCAGCCGCCACTCCGGCGGTCCCACGTGTTGGATCCCGCCCGCTGGCTCCGTCCGCCGAGCGAGATCCTCTGCTTCCACCCCCCCACCAGACCCACGCTTCTGCTCGTTACACAGAAGAACGTATTGTATGTTTACACAGAAGGATGTTATGTATGGCTGCACAGAAGAGTGTTATGTACAGATACACAGAAGAAGGTTGCGTACAGTTACACAGAAGAGTGTTAATTACAGTTACACAGAAGTGTGTTATGTGCTTTTAATCTGAAGAAGTGTTATGTACATCTTATCTGAAGAGCGAAAGGTACATTTTATCAGAAGAATAGAATGCGCAGTTCCTCACCTATACATCTCTGAAGGTCCTGACTTGTCTGTGCCCCAGGACTTGGCCGGCTTTGTCTGTGCCTTACTGATTGGCCTGCTTTGTCTCTGCCCCATTGATTGGCCTGCTTTGTCTGTGCCCCATTGATCTGGCCTGTGCTGTCTGTGCCAGAATGTCTGCATGCCAAGCCTACTGCCACATTCTCACGCTTGTGCATTGCATGCACTGCCCAACTCGCCTCGGTCACTATATGGGGTTCTGCCCCAATCTCCCTGCCGGTGATACTTGTCCTCTATACTCCTTGAGGTCGCTTTGCCTGGGACCTTTGCACAGGAGAACCCTTATCCGGGTTAACAGCGCAGACAATGAATACTATGGCAGTGACCACCTCCGTGGAATTAGGCTTCAGCCAGGGTCCTCCCTTAAGCTTAAAATGGCAGGCGACTTGAATGAGTCAGACTCTCCTAGAGGAGAGCAGGCAAGGGCACATAAGCGCTACTGGAAGGGTGAATGCCCTGAACCAGGTTCCCGGAAAGATAAGATTCCAAGGAGCGGCTAGCCCCTCTGCAAGCAGCCAGATGGCCCTGCCTATATGGCGCGGGGGAGATTATGACCACCGGACGCGGCAGTGACCACCTTCTTAAAAAGGTAGACGACTTGAAGGAGTCAGACTCTCCGAGTGGAGAGCAGGCAAGGGCGCATAAGCACTACGGGTAGGGTGAAGGCCCGGAACCAGACGCCCGGAAAGATTAGACTCCGGAGAAGTGTCTAACCCTGATATGATCACTGCCTATGTGGCGCAGAGGTGAAGGTCCCAGTAACTCCCCCCCACCACCATGGCCACCCTAGCTGAATGGTGGGTGGACCGGTTCCCCTCGGAAGGAGAGGACGATGGGGGTGTGGATTATTATGATGGACCCTAGTGGCACCATGAGATGTAGAACAAAGTCCACTACATGGGCCCCGATGACCGTGGAAGAAGAGGTTGTATCGTGAATCGCCTTAAACAAACCCCTGTTCGACCCTCGATCCATTGCTCACCTGGTTTCTTTGGAATGTGCTCTGCCCGATCACCTAGCACCATCGGTGCGTTTCTGGGCCCGTAGACCACTGGCTTGAGAAGCCTGCAGGATAATCGAGCGGTATTCCCAGCCGGGCTCCCGAACTAAGTAGCCGCAAACCCAGACTTAGACCCCGATGGGGCACTACGGTTTTGCTGGTTAAGCACCTGTCTAGTATTCAGGAGATCCTGAGTGCGGCCCACTGCAGTGCCTATACTATTAAGTCTGCACTGGCTAGCCGATTGTTTTCCGCTACACAAGTGAGTTGTGCTAGCGGAACATACGAGGAAGTATAATATGTGTCCTTTTTTACATGGAAATACTTGGAGGCTTGTCTCAGCTCCAACCCGTACCTTTTATAGGGGATTGGACCCTTGACCTGGAATTTCACACTTGCCTCCACTTTCGGATGACATCTCAGTCTGGGGTGGCAGAAGACCCTATCCTAAACGCAATTTGGTCTGCTGGAGGTGCTTGGGATAAAGGGATCTGAGCCCCTCGGAGTCCCAACACGAGTCTACGATTGAACATATATTCACTGATTAGTTTGAATTAGACGCGGCCTTTAAGAAACTTCTAGGGACCCAGTTCTGGTAAGGTGGCCTCTATTTTCTCCCTGGTGAGATAGGTATCTTGTGCATCAGTCATTTGGGCGACAATACAACCTGGTTGGCAGGTTACGAGGAATTGAGGACATTCAGGAATTCCAGAACTATTTGAAGAGATCTTTCTCATTTTCCAAACGTTGGGATCTGGACGCGACTCTTCATCGATATATGACATCTTGCTGTACGGTCTACCTGGACGGGCTTACCGGACCCCCTGCGAGGTACCTCCCAGACCGAAAGGTCAGACGCTCCCTGCGTTTTCCCTTGTTAGAGTCCCTGGATTTCGTTTCAACCAGGGAAATATCGACCTCCTCTACATCTCAAGGAGTAGAGTCCTGGAGGGCGTATTGGACGCAATGGAATAGTTTCTCGAGGAGGACCCATCAGGCCCGACCAGTTCGGCTGGTTGACGGACCTGTTTGCTCAACGATGGACGCTTCCCTCCAGGAGTGTTCGACAAGGAGACGCGGACGAGTCTCCTCCGTTTGTTTGGTCTCAGGACCTTTCTACAGGTGCCTCGGTCTGCTGGTACTTTGGAATTATGATCTCCGCTTCGGTAGAGTCGAACCTAGTTCCTGGATTCCCTGGATCCTTGCTCATTTGAGCATGTGATACAACGTAAATCCTGGCTGCATAAGACGGTGTTTCTGGAATGAGAGTCGGGATAGAAACAGAATACACCCCAAATAAAAGGAGAAACCACTAACTAGTCGTAACGAAACATCCGTCACCTTGAGATCCACTCCCCCGAGGAGTCAGGGCAGGGAACAGAAGGGTGGGAAAATACTCGCCTCCTGTCCTTATTAAAATTAAGATTATTAGTACACTAAAGCTAGCATAATCTTCAATTTTATAACATGACAGGAGGTTTCCTATTTTGCAATTTTAACGCTGAAGTCGAGATGTCCCAGCCGAACGGGGAGTGTGGAAATAAAAGGTACGTAAAGTAGATTCCCTAGACCAATCCGCCGCTCGGAGAATGTCTGACAGGGACGCCCCCGTCAGGAAGGCTGAGGAAGCCGCCGCTCCGCGAACGGAGTGGGCGCCGAAAGCGGGGTCTATACCGGCAAGAGAGAGGATCCAGCGTGGTGGCCGAGACCGGAGCATGGGGGCGAACATAGAAGACTAGGAGTTGACCCGACGCCGAGTTATGGAGTGAGGAGGTAACCGAAACGTATCTGCGAAGGGTGGCTACGACACAGAGCTGCGGGTCGTTTGGGAAAAAGGGGTAGAAGACCGAAGTCGAACCCGACCGAAATGTGGTATGTGACCCCGTCAGGGGCAACCTCGAGGGCTCGAACGTCCGATACCCATCGAAAGGACACGAGACAAAGTAGAAAGGCGCACTTAGCTGATAATTGGCGTAGGGAGAGACAGTCGTTAGGAAGCCAATCCCTGAAAAAACGGAGAACCAGTCCAACATCCCATAGGTGAGGGTACCTGGGGGCCGGAGGGTGGTGGAGCCGCATACCACGCAGCAGGCGGCAGACGATAGGGTGTTGGCCGCCGAAATCGCAGAGCGAACAACGTTAACTGAACAGTAGGAGCGACCCGACGAAAACAAGGATGAAAGAAAATTGAGAATCATGGGAATAGGTGCTGTAAATGGATCGGAGTCCCGTTCCACGCACCAAGAAGATCAGGAGGCCCAAGCTGAAAGGTAACAGCGTCTAGTTCCGGGGGCCCAGGAATCCCATAAGAGGTCCCTAGTAGCCTGCGATAGTCCGCTGACTTGCCAGGAACCCCGGAAAGAGTCCAAACCACCAGGGGCAGGCGGTCTTCCAAGAGAAGTGGGTGAAGATTCCCTTTGGGATCCGTGAGTAGGTTCGGAAAGGATGGTAGGAGTAGAGGGTCCTTGCATGAGGAGGCCAGGAGATCCAGGAACCACAAGGGTGTTATGAGAACCAGTGTGACCTGTTGTATCCGTATCTGGTGTAATGTTCTCGCAATCATGGCGAATGGGGGAAAAGCGTAGGCTCCGGTCGTCGGCCATTGTTGGAGAAATGCGTTCGTCGCCTTGCTCTCTGGGTCCGGGAGCCAGCTGAAGAACTCCGGGATCTGGTGATTGTTGCGGGAAGCGAACAGATCCAGGTGAAAGGGACCCCTCCGGTTGCCAGGGCCCTGAAGACTCTCGTGTTCAGCCTCCAGTCGCTGACGTCCCTCCACTGGCGAGAGAACCAGTCGGCCGTGAGGTTGATCTCTTCGGGTAGGTATTCGGCCGGAAGTGCGATGTTGCAGGGTAGCCAATAGTCGAAGATGTCTCTCGTGATGTCCGACAGCAGGCGTGAGCGTGCAGCCCCCAGGCAATTGATATACTGGACTGTGGAGACGTTGTCCATGCGTAGGAGGATGCAGCAGTTGGATCTTTCCCAAAACCCAGGCTGTGGATCGCGAAAGACCCCGCCAGGAATTCTAGGCAATTTATGTGCAATTTATGTACCGTCTATGTTCCCCCCGTGGAGATGGTTCTGTTGGTGGCACCCCAGCCCCACAAGCTGGCGTCTGACTCCAGTATGAAGTCTGGGGTATCTCCGAATATGGCTTCAGAAATTAGAATAAACAGACTAATATTAATAAATGAATAAAGCTCTGGAGGAGCCAAAGAGTCTGACCTGTCTGCGATGGAGCAGTAAAGAAAGAGGAAGTGTACAGGCAGCATGACCCTTATATATACTATGCTGCTCAGTGATCTAATGTTACTCTTTACGTTTTTCTTTACTGCTGTGGAGTTTAGTAAAGAGAGTTATTGCAAAATAGGAAGCCTCCTGTCATGTTATAAAATTTAATGATGTCAACTATAAATACATATGTATTTGAAATTACCAACCACTTCAAGGTACTCCCACATTATAACCCGATAATATTTTTAATAAATCCACTAATTGTTTGTTTACATTGTCTGATGCAGCTACTGCCTACAGATTATCAGGACTAGGTTAGCACAGACAGAATTCTGTTCTCTGCAACAATGTTTGGGAAAACATACAAACCCACAAGGTCTTAGCAAAAAGAATATAGAACATAACACAACTAACTTGTATAACTGTCCTCCTGAAAATACATACATAATCATTTATAATAGGTTTATATGTGTATATTTAAATATATTATAGATTTCAGTATATCTGTAATAATTACCTCTAGCAAATATAACTTAAATGTTTTTCTACTTAAGACACCTGACAACCCCCTATATACACACACTACACATCCTACACACACAATGCACCCACTATACACATTAACTACAACCAACATACACAAGATACCCTCTAATACTCACTCACTCTACCTTCTTTATCTACAGTACACCCCTTATGAGCAGCACACTTATAATATCTATAATATCAGTGTGACGTCCACACAAACTGGTTGAAGAGTGTGAGGAGTGCAAACGGGGTGAGGGGAGGGGCAAAATGCATCTTTGCCTGTGTGCCATAGGTCTTCTATTACCCAGGGCTCCATGAGTTGTTAGTCTGCTCCTTGTTCCTAAGGATTTACAGGATGCCTGGGAGGGACAATATTGTGTGGGCTCCCTACCAAACAATAACTCTTGAAGTACAGCTGTCAACATTGCCAAGGTTATAAAACAACTTTGCAATGTTTACATTTTTCTCTTTAGCAACTGTTTTTAGACTTTAATCACCTCCAGCCTGATTAGTTTCAGGGATCTATAAATATAAAACTTCACTTGGTGTCTATTTATTCAAACTACCACCCTCTCTCTTATTTACTGATCCTCTAAAGGAAATTCTGTACTATCAACCAGGGCTGTGGAGTCGGAGTCGAGGAGTCGGAGGAAATTTTGGGTACCTGGAGTCGGAGTCGGTGCATTGTTTGCCGACTCCGACTCCTACTAAATTTAGATTGGAATTAAAAAAAAGCAAGTTTAAATGTCCCAATTCACAAAAAGTTATAATTAATGACTTCTCTACTGTAAAAATAAAGACCAATGCATGCAGTGCCTCACATAACCGCAAAACAAGCACGTTAAGTGACCGTGAAGAAGCATGCACTGCAACTTGCCATAAGAGATGGATTAAAAGATCGCCATGCAATTGGCAAATTACGGCAAGTAACTGTTGCAGCCAGGGCCTTGAAAACAGATGCAATTTTGAAAAGACGTGCAGGAAAAGGAGCCATTTTGGATCAAACAACTCGCTGGGGAAGCACTTATTTAATGGTGAAGCATTTGCTTGAACTTAAAGACTTCATAGAAGAAATGGACAATGAAAATCTTGCATTAACTGAAAGCCAGTGGACACAAACAAAAGAGCTGGAGAACCTTCTTTCTCACCCCTTCACTGTCACCAAGAGTTTGCAATGTGACAATCTAACCCCGGGTAAATTCCTCTTGGAATGGAAGAGCCTGTTATATCGCCTGAACAAAAATGGGGGGTTATCATCTTCAATGATGAAAAGAGAGAGTCTTTTGCTGGAAAATGAAATCTTGTTAGTGGCTATTTATGTCGACCCAATGAGCTGACTTTTGTTGAACAGTGAACAGACTGCTACTGGGATAAAGGACATCTATGATGTAGCAGTTTGCATGAAGGGATTACGACCTAAAATACCTCCACTGGATAAAGTTCTTTTAAGCAATAGTGGTAAATCAGGATCATCTTCTTCAAACGAAGAATTAGATTTTGATTCTTTCTTAGACAAAATGGAAGGTTCTAAAAGAAAGCAAAGTCGCATAAGCGTTACAGAACCAGTAAATGTCCAAATAAAAAAATTCCAACAGGAGTTTTATGAAGCACTAAAAGAAGTTGAAAAGTATGATCGCTCATCAAAACTTACTGTTGAAGAAGCCATCCTTGTTTATCCAGAGATCGTTAGTGATGTAGCCAGAATAGTTACTGCAATGCCACCCACCCAAGTCAGTGTCGAAAGATTATTTTCAGCCCTAAAAATAATAAAGTCTGACTTAAGATCCTCTATGAAAGAGGATCTGGCAGAGGCAATTCTCTTCCTTAGAACTCTACATTGAATTGATTTGCATTTGCTAAGCCTATAACTACATTTCAAGATTAATATAAACCATTGCTAGGTTTTACAGATTTTGTTTTTGGTTCATATAGATAAGCTTTGTTTTTGTTCTAAAACAACCAAATAACGTGGTTTGTATTTTTGAACTGGTAAAGTTCCTGTTCCTGATGTTTATGCCTGCTGCTACTATCCAGCCACATGATTGATTAATAAAAACATTTTTATAAAACTTTGTTGTTTTCATTGTGTTT